TTCCGTCTTTAATCCCGTTAGTTCTCAGGGTTTTGTAGTTGAGGGCATGGGGCATTTGTGCTTTCAAGAGTTCAAGGCTTGAAACATGTTTTCGCGAAAGCTGGCGATGGTGTTGGCGAAAGGAATTTGGGATTTCCACGAGGAGGTCATTCTGCCATGAAGTAATTTTGGATAACACCCATATGAAGGCCCAAATATACAATTAGGTCTTTCAAATGTTGGTGCCCGAGTTGATACCCAAAGTTGACCGACATGTGAAAATAGGCTCCGCGAACGTTTTGCGAAAGAAGACGCGAATGGATTACACTTTTTCGCTAAAGCTGGCCAACTCCCGGAAAAGGAATTTTGAACAGCCGCCAAATGCAGGCCGTGATGAGACCCTCGTCTGCTTCAAGTACAGACGCGCCATTGTGACAAGCCTTGCAGAGCCTCTGATCTCGGCCAAGGGGTACGGGATTCAGAGAAGCTGCCAAGCTGCCAGTTAGCACATGTCTGCTGAAGTTGGTGAGCATATCTGAGCAGATCTGAGCACATCTGATTGGATTTCCACATCTTGCAGCGAATTGGTAGCTTGACGAGTACAGACGTCGCTCCACTGGGATTTCCGAGCTGTTGGGCTTGGGCTCACTTGTTTCACCTGGCGCTGCAACTTTTTCGGCTTCATCAGTTCATGAAGAACCTGCTGCCCCTTAAAGGTGGAAAAGGCAGTTTCAGGATTGCTGTACAGTGCATCAGCAGCGAGCAGTGCCTTGCTGTAGTGGAACATAGGGGAACCATACTGCAAACCGTAGCGAGGCTGTGTTGTCTACGTGGACCAACCGTGCGATCCTTACAAGACTCGGGATGGTACTTCACGCCGGTTAGGCTGTGGGTTGTGAAGCCAAGGCCAGTTCTTGCTGCGCTGCATGGTCGCGTGCTTGTGTGGCGTGCTTGCACCAAGAGGGGTTTTGGGAAAGCTGAATTTAGGAGTGTAGAGAACATCTCGAACGTGCAGGCTGGAGGGAATCGAGAAAGCCGAACGAAATGCCCTGGGCTTAGACAGGCTCGATGTGATAGATGTCTGCATGAAGCACCCCTCACCGATGGAGTCCGGGTGGCAAAGTGACAGAGAAGCATGCATGCTCGTGAATGCCTTTTGGCTCAGCTCACTGGGAAGTCATACTCAGTCCTCTGCCATGGCGCCTGTTCTGGGAAACCTGTTGGTGCTGGCTGTGCTTACAACTGTGCAGCAGCTAGCGGCTGAGCCAGATGCAGTGAGTGATCCTCTTCTCAGCGACTCAGAATGCGAACAGGAACATTGCGCGCTCAATGCCCTTCAGCCCGCTGGATTGCACATTTGGTTCAGCCAGTTCATGTCTTGCATGGAAGCCAGTAAGGACTTGACTAGACCAATAGACAAACTCATGCTGTTGATGCAGTTGATAGGAGTTGACATGCTGCCGTGCTGCTGCATGGCCTGAGGTTGCAGGGAGCAGCGGTGGAGCGCACTGAAGAGTCGGGCGGAGCAAACGCCTCCGCAGAGTTCAACTTGTACGGCTATCATCACTGGTCTACCACAACAATGTATGGAGATGCGCCCCATGCAGCCTGTGGAGGAATCAATACGGCGGAGCTCATCAGGGGCACGCATTACTACAACGTTGCATCGGCACAGGCTATGTGGCGTGACTGCGGTGGCACAGGGAGTTGCTGGTGCGGCCAAAGCGGTGGAGGTGGCGGTACGGTCGGAATGGGTTGCTTCACCTGCGCCAAAGGCCGCTTCCTGCACTCAGCCTATGGAACACGAGGCAGAGCTTTGTGGGCATTGAATCAGGAGACCAGCGAGAGCACCAGCGCCAGCACATCCAACACGACCTCCCCTTTTGCCTCTGAGGAAATTACCCTCATCGTTGGCGACCTCTGCCCACATGCGGGCAACGAAGATTGGTGCCCAAAAGCCGCGGGAAGGCGGAACACGTATGGATCGTTTCACCACCTCGACTTTTCCCACTATCCGCCAAGCATTGACACCCGCCACTCAGTGCCCAATCTCAATTTTGTGTTCAACATCATCGAATGCCCACATGATCTTTGGGAGCGTCAGCGCCGTCAGTCCAGATGCAGGTAAGATGCCAGTGACATCAGTGGCGAGGCTTTCATCTTCTGAGTCCTCGAAGCCATTGATGGAGAGGGCCTCTTCTTCTTCATGTTTTCCTGAAAAGGTCCCCGGAGCCGTAGCAATCCTAGAACCATGAATCCATGGTGTGACTATGGGGCAAGCTGGGCTGAGTCCACTGCCGCAACTTGGCTGATGAGAGCTGTTGAAAAAGATTTCGGCAGATTTGCACTCTGGGCATGTAGACCTGCCACAGCTTTCTGCCATTTTCTGCCAGAGGTCCTGCCTTTGTTAAACAACCTTCTAGAAAACCGAGAGATGCAGCTCGAGGCCCGGAAGCTTTCGGGCTTGGCATTTGCCATCCTAGATTTCGTTGATTGCGTGAGCTCTGGCAGGATGGACGTTTCCTCACTCGGATGGCTGCAGGATGCCAGGGTCTGAAAAAGCAGGGGCATGACAAGGAGAAGATTTTCACACAAGCTGTCTCCTTCCCACCTGAAAGGCTGTTGTCAAGTTTGTCATGCCATTAGGGTTGAGCTTTTTCGGTTCGGCTGCTTTGATCCCGTGCCATGGCAAAATTGCTGCAAGGGTCCACCGTGCGTAGCGTGCTACAAGTAGCTTCGTCCGTGCTTCTCTTCAGTGGAGCACTTCGAATCACACTTGTAGGCCTGGAGTTGAATAGCCAGGTGGGTTCAGATCTACCGATGCTCTACCAAAAATAAACAACCCCAAGCTGATGATATTCTCCTGGTGCGTCTTCTTAGGTCCAGGCTGTGCTTGTCTTGACTCGTTTTGGAAAGAGCAAATTTTATCGCACGGCTCCTTTTCACGTCGAACGCGGATCACTTAATTCAAACGCGACACTGGTGGCAGGAGATGGCATGGGTGGCTCAACCAAGGACTGCCATGATGGGAAGACTGCATGCCGGCAAAGAAGCGTGCTGCAGAGGAATAAGTATGTTTAAGACGTGGAATTGTGTGTCACCTTGTCATTGTGCTTGACTTCTTGCGACACGCTCCACAATGTTGGCACATCAGCATTTCACATGCTAGGACTGTGAGATGGTTCGCGTCAGCCCAGACTTCTTCGTGATCGCCATAGGCAACTAACCCAGTGGATTGAGTAGGATCATGTTGTGGGAAAGTGGTGCAAGGCACTGAATGTTGACAGGCATGCCATGTCGTGGCAACCCGTTGGATCCACCATTGCTGCGCCCTTACCCCGTGGTGAAACTTTGCGAGTCCGACCAGTAAAGTTGGCTCGTGCCCTTGAGCCTTAGCTGCCAGACGGTCCCGCTTCACCAGCCACATCATCCACAAGCCGAGTGCAGCAGAGGCAAACCTCGGGCACTGTGCTGACTAAATCAGTCAGACTCATTTGCAGAGGTCGTGCAGCAAGTCTCGAGGGACTTGCCCGCTTCTGCTGATGCAGCGCTCAGCAAGGCCAAGGAGGCTCTTCGACAGCAACGGATTATACGCCAAGTGGATGCATATGATGCCTGGTCTGGGTTTAGCTAGCAGCCAGCCTGCTGGCACAGGTGCTGAAAACTGCAGAGCTTGCAGCGACAGCCAAAAGCAAGGCTTGTGGTGAAGCCGTTATGGGAAAGTACACGATGATGCCATGCAGGGTTCTTCAGCTCCGCCTCTGTCAATGCCAGACGGTGCAGCTTTGAGCTTCTTACGCCCGAGCCCGAAGAAGCCCGAGAATCGTGCGATGATGTGCCATGCTTGCCACTCATGCTGTGAACACGCAGTGTGTTTAGATCTTGCTAAACGGAGGCCCAGCAAGACGTGGCGGCTAGTCGCACCCTCCGCCAAGAGTTCAGCAGTGCTTAAATTGCGTCAAAGTTCTGAGGCGTGTCAGGGCGTGTCCACAACCTTGAAGCTTCAATCTCAAACCTAAGTTCTTTGCACACACACGTTTGGGACATCCCCAGGCACACCTGGAGAAGCTGCATCTCACACAAAGCTGCCAAAAAACCAAGGAGTTCGATCAGAAGACCACAAACGAACAAAATGCACATGGGACTCTTCCGGCCAGCTGGATCTACAGCCCAACTTGACACACTTAGGGCATCCGGGCATGGGTTGGTAAACGTTCAAAGCCGATGCGTCATTGTGTGATTGCAACGCCGACCATGAAGCGACGCTTGGCCATCCCTCGTAGATCATGCCGGGAAACTGCGGCTCTCAACCGAAGCAAACGTCTCCTCGAGTTTTGCTGATTTAGCACCACCTCCCATGGAAGTCCCAGCCCTCAGCAAGGAGCAATGGGGCTCAAGCCTGTGCATGCGGCTAGGTTTGATTTCTCCCGCAAAGTGAGGGTGGCTGCATGCGTCATCGCAAAGAGGGATCAGCTTAGCCCTTGACAAAGTAGACCCACAGCAATTGGACATTAGGCTGTTTTATTCACAATGCCAGCAATGCCAGTCAACAGCAATGGCCAAGCTCACGAAGAAGCCAAGAGAAGGATCCAGAGGGGCGCTTTTCACCGGGAGGCTGCATGAGAATTGAGGAATGACTGATCTTGCATAGCACGCCTCAGACTCCCTCCAGGTGGTGCTGGAAACTGTGCGACAGTATGGAGATCTTTTGGGTTGTGCGCAGGCCAAATTTCACAGGCAGGAAAATGTCAAGCTGTCCAAGCCTGGAAGCCAGATGAAGCCAGTGCCCGAGTTGAGCTTGAGGGATCCCGAAGTGGTCCTTGCTGCCGTGGCCTCGAGCAGCTGGGCCATGAGATATGTGTCTCGACAAATTGGGCTTAGGTGACGTGGCTGACTTCAAAAGAGCCGTGCCAGGTGGACCAGAACCTCTTGCATGACAGCAATTTCGCGCTTGAGGTCTTGCGAGCTAATCCGCTGGCGTTGCGAATGCTTCCGGACTGCCACGCTTGTGTTTTGCATCTTCCATATCCAATGCATGCAAAGTTAGCCAAGTTGCCACGTTCAACGAACAAGCTCCGGTGTTGCAAAGCATTGCCAAACCATGCTTGCGGAGTTTTGGAATCTTGCATGCATGAAGTGTGCGGAGAAGCCCAGCCTGTACATGGCACTGTCTACCTGTAGCGACTTTCGCTTCGTTTGTTTGTCTTCTTTTCGCTTCAAACTGACTTTTCGAGAGGGCTTCACTTATGGAGATGAGCGGGAGCGTGATGTTGCGAGCACACTCCACACTCGAGCGACCCCCCGACAGCGTGCGGCAGGAGCGTGATTTGGAGAGGACGCTCCGCACGATAACCGCGAAACTCTGCCAACCGATTCCCTCGACTCTGGACGCAAGAAATCTCAAGAATGCGACAGTGTCACTACACAGTTCGGGTAACTATGCCAGTCGCACAGCAAAGCAACTGATGCCAGTGCCGTGGCAGTGACAAATTTGCAAAAGCAACCTATAATGATACCATGTAAGCATTCTGCGACTGCTTGCATGTCGCAGACCTGAACGGAAGCATCAGTCAGAGGCCAAAGAAAAGCATCTCTGAAGTGTGAACGTGCTGAGCCAACCATGGGCTATTGAGAGCATGCGGCGCTACATGTGACAGAGTGCTTTCGCAGTGACGTGCTGACACGGTCGTCTTCGTGCAGACACGCCGGTCAGCTGCAAAGCCCTTCTGAGGAGCACTGCCATTCGGACAGGGACCTTGTGCTGGCCGCCGTGGCGGGTGACGGGCGAAGCCTTGCCTTCGCAGCAGAAGCGCTCCGGAGCAAGGCGTCTTTCGCACTCGAGGCACGAAGCCAAGTATTCGGAAGGAAGCCATCTTTCTTGCAGTTTCATGTATCTGCGGAGAAGCATGCAGTAAGCTAGAACATTCAATGTGTATCTCCTTCGTGCAGGCAATCCAAGCTAATCCAGATGCCTTGGAGTTTGCTCCAGAGCCGCTGAAGGCCAGACGCAATTTCTTACATCATGTTAGATGTTGACACTTTTGTTTGGACAAGCAATTAAATTCTTGGTCTGGCCGTACGGCCACTCCTGTGAGATGCAAACTCAGGTCTTGCAGAAATCTGAACTGTCTTATCTCCCAGGCCCTGACCAGCCTCGGACAGGGGAGCCATGAAACTCCGGCCAACCCAAACCGCCAGCCTTTCTCCAGAGTGTGTGCCATGTGTTCCTAGAATCTGCAAAATGTTTGCAAGAGCTTAGGGGTGAGAATACAGCTGTTATTGGGGTTTGATCGTAGTGAGAAGAGATTAGAAGTGTAATGCCAGGAACGCTACTGCCAACTCATGTCCACCATCCCCGTTAGAGTTCTCGAGTACCCTCTCCTCTGGGTGTCATTGTCCTGGTCACCACACCACCCCATGAGGGGGGGCTATTTCCAGGAGAGTGGTGCATCCTTCAGGAGCGCAATCCCCCACCCTGCACTGTCGCTGCGTGTTCCCTGCTCGTTGCGATCCTCAAGAGTGAAAGCATCAAACCCATGTTGCCTTGGGACATCACCGATCTTTACCTATGGATTCTCACAAGGATTGGCGTTCCTCTTTCAGTGCTCCAGACTTTATTGCTCGGAAAGCAGATTGAGCTTCATCAGAGCCCCGACCAAAACAAAGGCTCGCAAAAGCAAATCTGGTCCGGATGCAGGCTTCGGGCACTACTTCAAACGAATCAGAGTGCCACCTGACTAAAGAGAGCCACGGAACTGCACCAGCCAGCATTGGGGTCGACATGTGTCTTCAAACATATTGCGGCCGGGACTACCCTGAGGTCAGAAAACGGGTTTCATGTAGGCAGGAAGATGAGCGCCAATCAGGCTGGCCCTTCGCGTTTGGCTGCGGTTCCGATGAAACCTTTCACGGCAAGTCTTCGCTCCAAACCTCAAGAAGCGAGCACTGGGATATTGATCACAACCGTCCTGTACATACCCGTCCTCGACGCTTGCCTGTGGACACCCGACCGCTTCCCAATCAGCAGGACACTGAGGCACCTCATACTTGCTATGCATCTCCTGTTTGAGGAATATGAGATGTTGTCATTCCCACGGCAGCGCCGCAGAAGTAAATTGACGTGTTGATAGTAGTCGTTACTGCAATGGCAGAAACTCATTCCCAACCCGCCTATGGCTTAGAGCTTCCACGTGCAAGATCGCACTCCCTGCAAGCCCAAAGAAGCATCGGCCTTGGGCCTCTGGCCAATGACAATATTGCATGCTTGCTCTAACATGCCTCTGAGCAGACAACAAACAAAAATCGCAGGCAGTTATTTGATGGTACTCAGCGTTTGGTCTTTTGTTTGCTGTTATTGTCGTTGAAGTACAGCACTTTGGGGTAGACTCCAGGCAGACCGAGTCTCCGTGGCAGTCGCGTTGGAAGGCGATGGCCGTTCGCTTCGCTTTGCCGCCACGGAGCTCAAGGATGATCGAGAACTGGTGTTGTCAGCGGTGCAGCAGAATCCTGCGGCCATGGCATTTGCAGGCATGCTGCGCCATCTGCTCCATTTGCGCCATCCAAATGACTAGACAAATTGCAAGCCCATTGCTGAGCTGATGCTAGGCGAGTCTCTGAAGAACGATCGGGACTTTGTCTTGGAAGCCGTGCAGCTTGATGGCAGAGTGCTCGAGCACCTGCCTCGTTTCCATTCGGATGAGGTCTTGTGTTTCGCAAAAGTGGCTGGATATCTGAAGCGGAGGAATACAATGTCAAAGAGTCTTAACCCTACCGCTACTAGGGCAGAATGCAACCCCTGGACAGGAAATTATTCTGGATGCGCTGAAAACATGCTCTGAAGCCATCAGTTTTTCAGATGGATTTCGGGACAATCGGGACTTTGCCTTGCAAGCCATGAACCTCGAAGGCGCTGCTGACACACTTCCATGCAACTATGCAACTTCAGTTGTCAGCTGACAGATGCTCGACCATTTTGCTGGTGTCTTTGGCCTGCAGGCCTAAGTCTTCAGCACGTTTCAGCTGAGCTTCGCAGAGACAAGGAGCTGGTACTGGTCTCTTTGCAGGATTGGCACCTTTGGATTGATGACGCTGTTGTCAATTCTTGCAAAGACCGTGGATATGGCATACGGATATCTGCGGAGAGAAGCAACGCACAAGATGCGAGAGAGAGAGCAGCGTCCTTTCCAGCACATCGCATGATTGAGTCTCACTCTTCTTTTTCACGTCTTCATTGGTGCCCTGCCGCTTTTCGGGCAACAAGGCTCTCTTTCTCACTCTCCCTTTCCCTGTCACCCTTTCTCTATTTCTCTGCATGTTTCACTCTCGCTGTTGCGGCGCCGTTTTCTGTGGGTCTGAGGCCGCAGTCGCCAACTGTGGGCGCGCACTAGAATTTGCATCTGATGAGCTCAAGCAAGATGAGGAGGTTGTATGGTGTGCGGTTTGCCAGGACAGCCCTGTAAGCAAAGCATCGGCGTGCATGTGCATGCCGTCAATCACTCATACCCGGTACCATGTCACTCCAGAGGAGCCATCTGCTCTCCAACATGCGCCCTTCTTCCGAGCCAATGTGGACTTCCTGCTGCGGTGCATCTCGCAGTCTTGCAAAGTTCTGGACTTCGCAGATGCCTGCCGCTAGGCATCTCAACCCGTTATAGCATTCACATAAAGGCGGTTCGTTGTTTCAGATCAGGGACAATGATTCAAGAACCCTGCAGAGGGCTGCGCCTCTATGTAATGATGGAGGGCTGATGACTTCATGTCAAGCACATACGCAACATGAGCTCCAGGTCTAAAGTCCAACAAGGAGTTTGCCTTCGGTGCTGTGTTTGCAGAAGCTTGGCGCAAGGTTGTCTATGGTCATTTGTCAAACTCCAGCCAGCTGCAGCCCATGAACTTGTAATTTACTGTGCAAGTAATTTCGCAGTGAAAGGATGTGCACTCCCTTGGTTTCCTGGCGCCAGAGCTGCTGAGCTGCTCAGATTTGATGCTTCACGCCACAGCAATCGACGAGGCTGCGTTGAACTATGCCGGACCGGGCACGGCCAAATCTTGTTTGCTCATGTAACATGTGATAAGGTGAGTGTATTCCTCTGGTTCATTCTGGTTCTAAAGTGCTTTCGACACGAACCAGCGCCCCTGGCCTCCGCCAAGCTGAGCAATAGAATGGTCTCAGTAACCGAGCCAAGCTAAAGTCCCCAACACCCTGAAGATCAAATAATGGCAGTCTACAACATCATAAGAGTTCCTAGCAAGAGAAAGCGACGCACAAAGCAAGCAAGCAAGCAAGCAAGCAAGCAAGCCAGCAAGCAAGCAACGCTTTATGCAGGTGTGTGTGTGTGTGTTGTGAACACAAACCAATAGCCAGCCAAGCAAACAAACAAACCAACAAGCAAACCAACAAGCAAACAGATGGCCAACACACAATCAAACAAACACCCAACCAAATTACCTCGAGCATCCCCACCTATGGCTTCAGTGCATGCTGGCCTGGTTGGGGTTGGCACATGTGTGATTATGTGAGTTGTGTACCGTGGTTTCTGCCCAAGAACCCACTTTGCACCTGGAGCAGGGTTTTTCTTGCTGCCTCCTTGTGGGGATTCTTAGCCAGTGGCCGTAGTGTTCACGTATCGGTTGCCCATTCGGCCGATGTCGTGTCGTAGGAAACATCATCACGGCCATGTGAACAGTGCTGCATCATCCATGTCCTTGCCGAGCGATGCACCAGCTGCGATGCCTGTGGAAGCCTTGGCTCCTCCTGCCTTTAGCGCACTTTTGATTGCTCATCTTGGCGAGTCTCAGTTGCAGACTCTGTCAACAGCTGGATTTCCATGATGCTGACGTAGCGGGGCTTACTGCGCAGGAGTTCTGTGGTCTATGCCCTACCCTGCA